ACTGTTCACTGCACAAATGAACCAATGGAGAAACCACCGCTGTGCTAAAGTATTTCATAATCACTTCGTCATACGTAAACCTAAAACGAAGATTTGTTTTAACCATTATTGTATACAAAATTTAGGTAAATTTTTGAATTTAAAGTCATGTAGGTAAACCCAGGTGACATTTACGATAATGTTCCTATTAACTATGACATAAGGTCGGACTCTCAATAGACATAATTGCAATTTATTGTTACATCCATTCTGAATTAATCTAGTGTATAGATTGAATTGTTATACAATATACAGCAAGTGTCGTGTTTACTTCCGTACAGATGAATTTAGTTGCGACTACACAGTAGGGAATCTATAACAATAATATGTGTACTTCAAAATGTTCTGCAGTTGATTAAACTTGAGTAAGGGCGATTGTTTTAGATTCTATAATGTAAATATCAATTTCCACTATAAATTAATTATAAAAGATATTAAGGAGCACAAGACAGGACCTCGTTAGTCGCAAAATCAACATCATTCAAGAGGAAAAAAATAACGATTCACCAGTGCATAGAACAATTTATTTTGTTCTATAATAGGACTAATTAATTATCCATGTTTTGTTTAATAACTGTAATACCCACAGTATATGAAGTGAAATGTTTTAAATGAGATTATCATAAAATATAATTTTCAATGGAAATGTTAGTCCTGCGTTGTGGCACTCGATATCTTACTAATATTTAATGCATTTAACGTGGCAAGTAATCCAACTTTTGGTATGAAATTTAAATTAGAGAATGTAAAATATTTTTATCGTTATTTTTATTTAAAATTTCAATCATTTTTACTCTTCAAACACGGGTAAACTCAAACAAAAATGCGTTTTTAATCGACATTCACTATTTATTGATCTGTATACAAAAGCAGAATCATTACAGTTAGATTGATAACAAAAGGTTGCGAGAGTTTTATTTTTACATTTCCACATTCACTTATTTTGCGGGAAAACATTAAAACATATCATTCGTTATTCATTGCTGTTGGTAGTAATTTATGTACGCACGTAAGCGGTTATAATGCTTTTTTAACTAAAACAGTTGTTCTAGCTTCGAAAATAATTAATTATAAAAGGTTTTAATGTAACATAATCCAACATAACGTAACACGTTTTTTAAATAAAAGTTGAAAACGTCAAGTATTTATTCCATTAATATTTTTACTGAATAATTAGTAGTATTTAATTAACATTACTTGAGTGGAGAAGTCTTCCAGAACATATATTTGGCACTAATTTATCATTTTTGGTTTGTTTTTGTTTTACATAGACCGCTTGGTGTCGACATATTATCAGAGTCAAACGGTGAAAATCACCAATCTAAAATTACAGAATTTCCAGAAAATATGTTTAAACATGATTATGCAAACGCAGTATTTTTTGATGAATGAACAATAAGCGTCAATTTATGTAAATTCATAAGTTGGTTAAGAATACTGTAAAGTGGGGTTAGTTTGCCAGCCAGGGCAACTTTGCTTAAAAAATAATTTTCTATAAATCTGGCAACGCTGCTCTAATGCAGTTGGCGGCAAAATACTACGCGATCAACAAGTTTTAGGCAGTACAAGTCCAAAGCTTGATAAAGCGGTACGCCGTATTTGAAAATCATGTAAGTAAAAATTTTATTTCGACCTCGTAAAATCATGTGTAATAAAAACTAATGAATTTTGAATTCTGGTTTTAACATCACCTATTCTTGTGCATATGCGAGCTCTATAACTGATATTAACAGTTTTCCAGATGCTAAATTTCCAATAATTTTTGTGGTTGGCAAAGTTGCCCCATATTGTGTGTTTTTTTTAGAAAATGATTCGAACGTATAAAAGACAAGTGGGTGCTCGGCGTTATAAAGATTATACCGAAGAGCAGTTGCATAAAGCTTTTTTACTGATTAAAAGTAATCAAATAGGATATACCAAAGCATCCAAAACCTTCAATATTCCTAGAAGAACCCTAGTAAATAAAGTTAAAAAAAAACATGTAGGTCCTGTTAGACCACCTCAGCTAATCGCATCGGAGATTGAACGGTCCATTGTCGACGTTATAATAGCCAGCTCCGAATATGGCTGCCCCCTAACCATGACAGAATTGAGAGTAGTATTGAAGAGTCATTTAGACAAAGAAGTTCAAAGACAATTTACCAGGTGTAGACTGGTGCAAGAATTTTATTCATAGACACACACACATGAATTATCCAACAGACAGTGCCAATATATTAAAAAAGCAAGAGCTGAGAAAACAGATGAGGAAATGAACAATTACTTTGATAATTTAGAAAGAAATTTGGCAGGATTTCTACCTGGTTCGATCATTAACTACGACGAGACTAATCTGACAGACGATCCTGGATCGTCAAAATGTATTTTTAGAAAAGGAATTAAATACCCTGAACGTATTATGAACTCAACAAAGTCCTCAATATCCGTCATGTTTGCTTCCGCTGCAGATGGAACTCTGTTTGTCCCTTATGTGTATAAGGCGGAGGGATTATTTGACTCCTGGTGTATTGAAGGACCCCTTGGAACTCGTTATAATAAAACCAAATCTGGGTGGTTTGATCAGTACGTATTTGAAGACTGGTTTACACAAATGGTTATACTGTGAGCCAAAAAAAAAGATGGACCGAAACTTCTAATCGGAGATAATCTATCGAGTCATTTAAACATAACAATCATTAAAGAGTGTCAAAGAAAGAATATTAAATTTGTCTTTCTACTCTCAAATTCAACACATTTGACACATTCTTTGGATATGAGCTTCTTTAAGCCCTTGAAGGTAGTTTGGTGCCGAATAATAACAATCTACAAAACCAAAAATCCACGAGACAGTACAATAAACAAAAGCACTTTTTCTCATTTATTGAAAAAGCTCATTAAAGAAATAAAAGTAAAAGACGAACAAATCATTTAAAATGGATTTAGAGCAACGGGAATATGCCCATGTAGCAGAGAGGAGGTTCTTAATAGAATGGCTAATAAAAGCTTTGATAGAACCTACACTGATATTAGCAAGACCTTGTTGGATTTCCTTAAATAAAGTAGAGCTCCTTCAAAAGCAAGCATCTCAAAGAAAATGATAAGAATTGAACCTGGCAAATATATTGCAAGTGAGGATTTCACAAGTATTCCCAAAGAAAAGAAACGTGATAAAGTAAATAAAGAAACTGAAGAATATAACTGAACCATTGAAAGTGAATCTGAGGACAATTTAGAATTAGATGAAGTCGTCGGTTTCCAAAAGACTGATGACCGCAATGACGAGCCTCAAGCCCATTGTTCCTGTGATATTGTAACTAGCAAGACTGAAGAATCATAATTAAGGTTAAAAATTCCGATTTTCTACTTCTGGCACTTTTAAGGAAAAACAATACAAGCAATTTTTTTGCACAAGTTATTGAGAAAGAAAAAGACTGCTGTAATGTAAAGTTTTAAGACTAAAATCACAAAACAATTTTTGTTTTCCTAATATCGATGACACAGGCCTTATTCTTGAACACGATATTGTGACTATTTTAGAATAGCCAAAACCTGCATCGACATCAAGACAAATTTTTACATTCATTCATTTCATTTTAAAATCATTTATTTACATTATGTACATACAATTTCTAATAACAGTTTAAATATGTAAATTTGCAGCAGAATTTCTTCTTGAGACTCGTCAGGGAGTGTTCCAAATGCTGCTATGGCCCCAAGCGAGGCCATGACCGATGTCTTGGCCGTATACTCAACCGAAATTAGTTATTATTATGAGTTTTTACGCAACCCCTTCTTGCTGAATTCAGCATTATAGGTCAATATTGGTGCTTAACTAGATCAATAATTGAAAAGTCGTAGGGTTTTGTATGATTTTACTTCTGTCTGTAGTCCCTGAAAAACCGAATGAAAAAACAGGGTTGTCCTCGTGTGTGTGTTTGTTTACTGTTAGTTTATGTATATAAATTGACCAAATCACAAGACTACACAGTTCAGCCTCCGTCCAGCACAAGAATCATGGGAAACCACAAATTCCTGCACTGGGCGATGACGTCACCGTAAAGTCTGCCGTCCGACCAGAGTTGGTAGCAAGTCGTCGTTTGTAATTTGGCTGTTTACTGGGTCCGTCGCTCTTAAAAGGATAAATGTCAAATTTTTTATGTTTTTAGTCGTGTTTGTACGTAATGAGTGCCTATTGTGGTCACAAAAGTCCCGACTCACACCAATTTCCCGGAGATTCGAAAAAAGTCCGAGAAAAAATGCTTCCGTCGGGAGAATTATGCCCACAATGGCGTTTTACAATGTCTTTGTATGCCTTTACTGATTTTACTGTCTAAAGTATGTATGTTTAATTCCTAATGTTGAAGTTAATGTCGATGTTAGCCATGAACGCGTTATACGTTTCAATTATTTGTTGTCCATTTATACAGTCTTTGAGTTTAGTTAGTCTAGTTATTTCACCAATATTAACTAACCTGTTTAATATCGCGAATTCATTATTTAGGGCCGAGACATCGTCCATGGCACCGCCTGGAGTCGCTTGTCCCGGGATTTCGTCTTCGTTTTTTCTGGTTTGGGCATTGTTTCTTTGTTCTCTTGTGGGAAGTGCTGGGAATTCATCTCTTGTGATTCGATTCTGTTATCTGGCCTCCCATTGGTTAATTAACGGTTTGGGGGCGGGGACTAGTTTCTGCGTGATTTTTGGCCGTCTATCCATCATTCTCTCGAGTTTTGTAGTATAGTTGGAGCATTTCGTGTGATTTGCGGGGTGATCACCACCACAATTGGCACATGTTGCTGGAGTGTCCGTAGTTTTTGTACATGTACGCGTGTGATGATCACCCGCGCACTTCAGACATCTTGGAGGTCTGCCACAATTTGAGGTTGCGTGCCCCCATTGCTGGCAATTGTGACACTGGACTATCATTTTAGTGGATTTACGAAGTTCCCAAGTAACTCGTGTGTATAGTATTCTTCGTGTGTTTTTATTTAGAAAGTCCAGTGTTATCACTGGGTCCGATTATTACCAGAAATAGGGGCCTTCGTTTGGTCTCCATCTGGTAGATAGCACGGGTTTTTATATCATGTTCCTCCTCAAGATTTTCCTCTATGTTAGAGATTTTTGTTCCCTCCGCAAGTCCACGCAGGACAAATGCATGGGATTTATCATCCCTTGAGGTGTATGTGTGATAGGGCTCCTGGTCGTTTTTTATTTTGGCCAGTACTTGCGCGTGATCGTCTTTGTTTTCTGTGAATATTATTGTTGTGTAATTAGTATGTTTTACACTGAATTCACCTTTTCTCATTGCCTTGATATCACGTATAAGTGTATTTTGATTGGCTGTTTTTCCATCTATGACTATTGGTGGCATATTTATTTTACTTTTGTTGCTGTTTGAGGGTCTTCCTGCCGAATTTGATATGTTCTCTGTGTTTTCTGTCATATTTCGAGTGTTACTGGTTCCTGGATTTTCGTCTATATTTAAAGGTTTGTATTTCAGCCCTTTTTTCTTTTTTTCACAATTCTTGTGATTTCATCATCTGTATCTGTGCCATAATGCATGATGTTGTTATCTAAGCTTTTAGGAATGTTTCTTTTGTTGGCTTCGGTTTTGATTCTCGGATCGCTGTTTTTACGCACCCTCGCACCACTCGTAGTAGCAGGGGGTTTGTTCGTGTCTGTCTGTGTCACTTTCTGTGTTGCTGGCGTTGTGGGGACATGCCCAAACTTGAAGTTACTCAGTTCGCCCCTAGTTTGGGCGTTTTCCACACTGCCAGTTTGGAGTATTGTCACGAATTGCATTTAAAAATAATTAGATTTTTATTAAAGATAAAATAAAGTACTTTCCAAAAATATATTTCAACTTAAATTTTAATAAAGCCATTTCCAAAAATATAATTTTATTTCAATCTTTTTAATTTCCATTCAATTCCAATTTGTGTTTAATATTACATTTAAAGTTATTTAAAACAATAACAATCTTTTCGTCTAGTAATTAAAAACTTTATTTTATGTTGAAAATAAACAATGCACTCAATTCGGTTATGCTGATTCTACAATTTCAAAACAATGTTAGGGTCAGCTAGCCAAATTGACAAAACAAAAAATAACAACATTTTTGGCACAACCGAGGCTATAAGTTCTTCGGCTGTGACGAAAATCGGCAGTAGGTAATACTCTGCTGTATTACAGCAATAAAAATAAAAATAAAAAATAAAGTCGTGACATTTCAGCTTGCTGTTAAAATATGTGGTAAGGTTTTTTATAAATCTAATAAAAAATAAAATAAAAAAGGTATTTCTGAGAAAAGTAACTAGTTGGTTCTTTAAAGTCTTTGTAGTGTATATATTGTATATTTGGGGTGTATTATTATATTGGGGATTTCTGGACAGTTCAGGGGATTTTAGTTTGTATTTATTAAAGATTTGTAGTTTTTTATGCAGTGACTTTTATTCCTTCCCAAGTAGCGTAAAGCCAAGCCAAGCGTAATAAATCATAAGAAAGGTTCTCCAGTGAGTATTTTCGGGTGGCGCAAAGATCTTCCTCAACTGGAAGATCGTTTGGGCGATCCGAAATACGCAGTGGCGTACCCCACGATTAATTGGTTTGCCTAACAAACCACTTAACGTGACAGTATGATAGGTGAGGGTGTAGGGTTATCTCCCAGATTATTTTGACTAAAGTCCAACATCTTGGTGATTACATTTTGCGGTAGTGGTAGGGTTCTGAAGTTTCTTTTAAGATTCGAGGGCTCAGAGCTGTAACCTGGACAGAGGGTTTTTCAACTGGCTTATTAGTATTCTCTACTATAGTAGTATCCATAGTGCTATCGACACTATCATTGGAGTTGTTAGTGCCTTCTAATACATTTGAAAGTTCTTTTATGGTTTTTTCATGTTCATTTGTGTCATTATGGCTATCTTGGCTGTCCTAAAATTCCAGAGAATCATCAGTTAGCCATAGACTCCTTTCTTGATGTTGTATTTCCCTCTTTTGGGTTTATTTCGAGAGTTGATTCCTTTCTAACTGTTTGACGGTCATCTGAAGGTCGTTTTTGTAAAAATTTTGCCAGGGGGGACCTGGATCTGGAACCCCTGGTTAGTAGTTACTTTGGATAATGTTTCTCTACACGTTTGGTTTGCTTTGTTTAAGCTTGGAGAGCGTATAACTGCGATTTCCTCATTAATTGGTTTGATTGATACCCGGCATTTTTTCTTGATTCCTTGTGTGTATTTGGTTTCGTAAGATTTCACAGGAGTGATGCTTGCTCCATCGGGCTCGGACATTTACCGACTTCTCTGCAGACTAGAGGATACTTACACTGGCTAGAGATTATAGTGAAAAATGAGGGGAGAATTCAAACGTGAATATTAGGGCAACCATACCTAGTCAAAGCTCTAGGTGTACATTCTAAAATTTTGGTTTTTCTAAATATAACATGTTTTATTTTTTTGTTTCGTAAAAATTTAAATGTTTATTTTGAAGTATTTTGTGACTTACTACTAAAAATTTATTCTATTTCAATATTTAGTTAATTATATTTATTATTATCAAAAATTAATTAATACATTTTAAAAGTAGGTAGATATTTAATCATTAGTCAAACAGATTTGTATTAATTAACCTAATTAATCTACGATTTATATAAAGAATTTAATAATAGCATTACGATTAATCTATGTTAGAATTCCTAAACGATTATTATTTGCCCAAGAATAAACCGAAAGGGCAGCCCAATAAATCAAATAACAAAGAGGGTTTTCTGCGACTGTCGAAAATAATATATTAACGGACCTTTCGGGAGAAACTCAAAGAATGCGAGAACAAAACCGCCAATAATTCAACAGGTTGAAAACCAACTGGATACGATTTTCAATTAAAGCTTTAAGTTAGTTTCTATTAGAAATTTCTACTAATTACTGTACAGATAGAAATGTTTTTTGTTCACTTTTTCCAATAGTTTTATTATTTGTAAGTTTTGTTCAAAACTTTACCAATGTTGTTATCATCAATATCATACTGTTTGCAAGCATTACAACTATTAATGAATAAAGAAATTAATATTTTAGTTATTATAATATTTGTTTCTAATACGTTGAAAATCTTCTAAAAACATTATTAGTTAGCCAACTGACTTTTCTTTGTATTTTGAAATTATTTTTCTGTAGAAAATTTGACATTGATTTTTGTGTACAAATTACTATTTTTTGAATCTTTACCTACTATTTTTCATTTTTTATTGTAAATTCAATTATTTTCAAAATTTATCACACATGTCAAATAATATATTTTTTAAATACCTTTTATTGGTAAAAGATCAGTCCTATCACAATACATAATACAGGGTGTCCCAATGAAAATTAGCCCGTTTCCATTTAATAAAATTTGGTTACGGTGAATTTAAAAGAGGAGATTTATAGATAATACATAATTTTTGTGTTACTAAAGCAAAACTTTTGTATGTATTTCCGTGATCTTGGGTTTCTTGGAGGTATCGAAATATTCTTTTAAGTTTAGTGCAGTTTTAGTTAGTTGGATTATCTAGAGTCCTTAAGATGACTCCTACAGCGTATGATATGCCTGGTCTTGATTCTATCATTAGGTCAAATCCAGTCGCTTGACGATACGGGAAACCTTTTGACCGTATTCCAAGTACAGAGTCATTTAAGGTCTTTGAAAACGAACATTTTCCCATAAAAAGTTTAGTAAAATTTCAGTCTCGCGTACCGTAGGATCGCTTCGTGCGGGAAATCTACATTTTTGCATAAAAACCAATTTTTGGATCAGAATTCCGGAAAAATGAAGACGTAAAACGAAAATTAAAAATGAGGGATCGATAGGCAATTTCAAGACAAACATTTTGAAAAAAAATTCACCATCAGACACTCCAACTCCATTCGACGAAACACCTGATATGTAGATGTGAATTTTTATGTATATTAACATTGTAAATAAATATTTTCATTCATTCTACTTCTTTACTTTTATTATATTTTTTATATACATACTTGTATTTTCTTTTCTTATTTAATTTAATATTATAATTTGTCTTGTAAATGTAAAACTGTTGGGCAATACAAGCTTTTATTATCGTTACTATTATTAACATCAAGAGCTTTAAAGTATAATAATGACAATAACAAAATAAATTACCATCAACAAAGTTGAGGCCTCGCTTTTAGGTAAACTTGACCCAAAAAATGATCCAATGTCAACTTAATCCAGTTTTGAAATACCCCATTTGATTAATATACTTCAAAACATCTACATTAGTAACCATCTGGCTTATTCACTTAAATTTATTATTTTTTTTTTTAATTAAATTTTCTCGCATTACGTACGTAAGCAATAAAATCATTCAATTAGATATTCCTACCGCCTCACTGCATGCTTTGAATTTGATTCCGAGCTTAAGTTGTTCGTCTAAAATTAGCATCTCGAGTCAAAGCCTTCTGTACTATTGAAATAGAAACATTGATTACATTCTAGTCTACTAATTGGTTTTTAAAAACTGGCAATGCGTTAAACACTTTAGAGTTTTCTAAGTATAGTTAACGCTAAGAAATTTTGATAAATATGTATTTTATATTGTGTTATATACAGGGTGGACCACTAGGAATTGATTCGATCGATATCTCAGAAAGTGGATGCAGAGAATACTTTGAAAATTTGGTAACTTGTTAGATTCCTTCAGCTAAAATATGTTCATATATTTAATATATCCGGTTATACCGGAAATAGACCTTAAGTCGCTTATTTTAAATACGAAATCCTATATATTATTATATTTTTGAATTAAACTCAAGATTCTAGACAAATTTTATGTATTATACTTATATAAAAAAAATTTAATGTTTTCAAGGAGTTAAGCAATAATTCTCTAATCAATGTAATAAGAAAGAAAATTAAGAACTAAAATACAGACATTTCAAATAATATACGCGGCAAAACCTACTTTACCAACATTTTAGTTCAGACAATCGAAGACCACGTGATTTAACCGGTTCGAAACAGTGAATATAGACATTACATTTGTAATATAGTTTTAATCATTTAAAAAGACGAATTAATGTGTATTTCCAGCATACAGATAGACAACATTGACAACACTTCAGGGTCAAGTCATTTCGATTATACCGGGTGTCCGCGCGAAAACTTTTAATGGAATTATTTCTGGTGTTTTAAAATATATCGACTCGAAATTTTGGAAGGTCATTAAGGAAGTAACCTAGTTGAAAATTTTTTGTGATTTTTTAATAATAATTTCTCAATAAATTCCACGGTAACCTATATATTTTATTGTAAAAAACAAAACCTAAATATTTCAAAAACCTTATTTTTAGTTTTTTTCTACTCCATCTAATCAATAAATAATAGTAAAATTAATTATAATTCGAAAATTGTTGTTGAAGTCTTACTTTCTTATAAGAAACTGTACAAACACACACATTTTTAAAAAAACAATTTCTCAAAAATTTGCACGGTAAGGTATAGTTAAAAGTTCACTATTAGATAAATAAGGACATCTACTATTAGAAAAAAATTAATTTTAGTCATAATCTAATATTTTTTATTTAACATTGGTGGCGAAAGGACCTCCTTAAGTTTAAACAGAAATAAACAAAACCAAAGTTTTCCTTTATCCTTTTTTAATTAATGTGCATTAGGATGTACATGACTACGTTTATATCTTCATATTTTTCAAATTTAATTGGCACTGGTGAAGCCAATAGGTTAGTATGATCTCAATTATACGTATATAGGGTGTCCCGTTAATATACCGCCAAATTTTTAAGGTTGGTGTCCGAAAACGCTTATTTTACGAAGTACAGATAATTTGAACCAAAAGTTATAGCGCTCGGTAGATATTTACAATGATTTAACTTGTTTTGAACAAAACAACTAACAATACAACTTTATTGTATCCTTATATTTTTGCGAATCTCTTTTCGTTTTCAAGAAAACAAATAATATCTAAACTTTTGCACGTATCTACAGGAACTAAAAAGACAACTCAAAACGAAAGGCGGTATAAAAAAAAAATTGTGATTTATGTTTTGCAGTGTTCCCCTGACGTTTTTGTAGTGTTTAACATCAATTGACTACAGTTTGTTATTAAGTTATTTTAGAAAGATGTATATTTTAAAGATTTCACCTTGTATTATGCTCCAGCTGTTTCCATGTCAGTTTCCTGCTCGTATGCCGCTCTCTTAGTAGCGTTTCTGGGTTCGAACAGTCTGTTGGGTGAATGAGGCAAGTTGCTATACCTATTGTTCCTCTCTTTCCTGGTTTTGTCCTCCTCTTCAGAGGTGTGGCTGTTTGGGTCGTATTTTAGTATGTTTTCTGCAATACTGGTAGGGATGTCATTTTTATTAACTTCTATTCTGATGCGGGGGTCACTGTTGATCCTTGTTTTGGGGATAGCACCCATGGAAATGGGGTTTTGGGGGGGGTAGGCTGAGAGTGTGGAAACAGGTTTTTTTAGGGGGTTTTTGGGTAATGTTTTTACTTAGGGTAGCAGTGTTGCCAAAGTTGAGGCTACTTTTTACATTTGTAGGAAATGTTATGGTTTTAAATGTTATGCTTTGTGCAGCTTGTATGAATTTAGAGCCAATTTTAGAAGGGATTTGTCCTGGTTTAAGTTGAGGGTTAGATTCTGTATCCATTAAGGAGTCCGTACTTTTAACAGAGTCTCCAGACCTTTCTAAGACATCTATTAGTTTTTGAGTTGTAATGTCATAGTCTCTTACGCCTGTTTGACTATCTTGGCTCTCCTGACTAACTTGGAATTCCAGTGACTCCTCTGAGTCAGCCGTGGTCGGCTTACGCATCTGGATTCTCCCTTCTATATTGTAGGTTTGCTCTTCTGTGGATTTTTGAAGTGTTTGGAGGTCACCTAAAGGTGAATCCTCGAAAATTTTTGCTGGGGGATCTTCCTGTTGTTTCTTTTCGTTATCGGTAACACTTGGTGAAAATAGAGCATCAAAAATGTTAGTATTTACATATGTTGCTCCAATTCTCTCAATTTTGGCTTTAGCAGTCTTCGGCGAATTCAATTTAAGTACTCTTTCGTACTGTGAGTAAATCTGCATCTATTTTTGAGGCGTCTCGTATATTCAGTCTCAAATCCCTTGGTAGTTATCGCAGGCCCGACATTCATAGTGTAAACACCAATACTTTAATTTATACTTAAACCTGGCGTAAGACATCTTAAGAACATCTTTCAGCTTTTACATTAATATGTCTGAATTATGGCTTTTGCCAGACGTCTTATAAGATGTCTTAATAACGTCCTAGGATATTGAGACTAAACCAAGACGTCGTGTGCCATCTCGTGGAACGTCTACCTGCTATGGCCACTAAAACAGCGGTGATGTAACGTAAATCAATAAAATTGTGTCAATTAAAGCTTATTCAATATTAGCATTTTTTCACGAATCATTGTTACGCCGCTGCATAGGAGGATTAGAGGTAATTCTAGAAATACATTGTTGCTGGTCGACCATAATCCTTCGATAAGTCACCATAATTTAAAAATTGTAATAGTATAGCAAACCTTTTTTTTAACAAACCTTTCAAATTAGAAACTCGTTTTTTTTATTTTGTAACATTTCTTGAAAGTTTATGTACTTACATTATTTAAAATTCAAAATTTTCGAAACAAGATTTTCATATTTAGCAAACACGAATGAACAATCACGATAGAAAGAAAGAAAGAAAGAAACTCGTTACATGTTGTTTATGTATGTCATTACGTGAATTTCCAACGATACTAAACGTAATGAGTTGCAAGGCAGTTAAATTTGAATATCTCTAAAAATAATTTGCAAACTCTCTGTAAGATAAGGAATAATTTTCTCATTTCTTTCGCGGACGAAAAATCTACCTAACCTCTTATTATTAAGAAAAGTTGGTGATTAAATTTAAGTTTTGAATTTTTGAGATGTAGATAATTTTATAATTGGAGTTAAAAGTACCATATCGTATTTTCAGTACATAAGCTTAAAACACTTATTTTAAGGATATTCCAAATTAACATTGTAGGTCGATGAATCGGGCGGAGGTAATTTGCCCACAAAATATTTAAAGCTGCTAATCCTATAGGTAATTTGCCCACAGCAAGTAAAAGGTCATCTTAATTCTGTTGGTATTTTGCCAAAATTTATTTCTAACTGAATAAATCATAATAGATATATCTTTCATTTATTATTTTTTATATATTATCAAAAAGTAAAAACACATTATTAATTAAACTAAAAATTATATTAAACACTAATTTTTATTATTATAAAAAAGTAAGTATACATAAGTTATATTATATTTTTTATATATTTATATTTTATTTACATATTTTTCAACTGGGAGGGATAAATGTGATACAAATTTTATATACTCTAATCTGCTGATTTGCTGCAGATCAAATCGCTGTATAAATTTTTCTAAACACTGAATTTTTTGTTTTACACTTTTGTTTTTGATTTTCTTAGGTATACTTAAGCTTTGTATTGTGACATACGTGTCGATTTGAAAGTCTTTAAGCTTTTCTATAAAAATATATACAGAAGGATGTGTACAGTAGAATGAAGAATTAAACCTTGAATGAAACGACTCACAGGCATTTGTAGTTCTTGTAATTGAAGCTGTTTTCTGCCCATATACTTGGAGGAAATGTAGAATTTTCTTCAATATATGTTTCTAATAGGTAATCGGCATACCTATCGAGAACGGCATTTTCTGGTTTACTTGCCATTAAGTCAAACACAAAACAGTCTCCAACTTCATCGGCGTTTAAATATGTCAACCCAAATGATGTTTTAAGCCATTTTCCGGTATCACTGTTAGTTGTATATTCAGTCATTAATCCCAGAGACTGAATTTTACGATACCACGCTTGATGTAGATGAAATCGGCAGCCATTGATTACAGTATTAGGCCACATATAAATTAACGCCTTATGAATTGCTATTTCAAAATCAACGAACACTTTAGATGGATTTAAAGCAATACTGTAAGTTTCCAAAATTTTATAATGCAATAACGAAAACAAATGTTTGTATATATCGGTAGATTTGTTTGGTAATAAACAATATACCAGGGGCACATAGTGTCCATTACACAGCCCATGAATGGTAAATAATTGTAGGAAAATGTTCCATCCATATACAAGACGTTCATTTTATACAAAGTACGAATATTTGTCTCACATGTAAATACAATAATATTATTTTCTCTGCTATTTATTAAAAGAAAATGTTCACCTTTACTGGTTTTAAATGTATTTGTAGGTAATGGACCTGGTAGTATTTTGCGACGACTGTTGTATATAGTTTTTCTTATGTAGGACACATCAATTGTAGTTAGTGACTCTGGCAAATTAGTAGCAAGTACTTTACGGATAATTTTAGAAGGTTTTTCCGAAATATCATCAACTGCTTTTCGCTTACACGAATTAGAAATAATTTTCCTGTTTAATTTCGGTTCATTTGCTTCATGGCTATGAATTAGGTTGTCTCTGGATACTAAAAGTTCAGGACCAATTGTAAATACAGTGGCATTACAAGCATTTGTTTTTCTTTGGGAGCATCTCCAAGAAACTTCTCCACTTTTCATTTCTCTATCTTTGGCAAACGTAAAATTCTCCAAAAGGAGTACATCTTTCCCGCGTGTGCTTCTAATCAATGTAGCTGACATTATAGAAATAATTATTGTTTATAAACACTCGAATTACAATCATCAACGTATAAAAACTGACTGGAATATAAACAGTAAACACCCAAAGTAAGTACCTATTAGAATTATTAATAATCAGGTAGGTACCTATTTGTGGGCGGATGTAATTTGCGGGTTTAGGTACCTGAATGCTACTGCGAAATACCAGTAAGATTAACGCACCCCTTTACTTACACAGGTAGAAAACAGAGATTTGTGGGCAAAAAGGACCCGCCAGATGAATCCAAGTTTTTAAAATAGATATTTATAACAGCGATTATCTATAAATCTCATACCTAATTGGTTTTTTAAAGAATGTTCCAAATTGATTATAGATTAAAACACTCTAAGCTGAAGTAGATTAATATTTAGAGGGGTCAAATGACGAATTAAAGGTTAATCTCTATTGTTTAAGCTGGGCTATTCTAATGGTAATTATCTCCTTTCATAAATAAAACAGGGATTTTAGGATGTGAAAGGTTTTTTTTTTGTTTTCAGAGGCAGAGCTGATTATTTCGTTAAAATTTATGGACTTTCACTTAATACTTTTTATATAAGATATTTAACAATTTGTAAAAGTTTTTAAATTGAAAAGAGTATATCAAAAATAATAAATCACCATAAATGTTTTATAAAAAGAAAGGAAATTTTAAACTGCTATCAATAATTGTTGGATAATCAGTTATGCATGGATTAATTTTTTTTTAGTAAAAAATGAGTTTGTCCACTGAACCCTAGTCTTTCTTCCCCACTCATATTCCTGATTATAAATTCAAATCCTTTTTTTTTTTTAATTTATGCCCGCAATCGAAATTTCATCAATCATTTTTGATTGTTTCATACTCATTTTTGTTTTTTTAATTTGCAAATTTCGTATCCATCAGGTGGTCAATGTATTTAATTTGACTGGGAGTTTTCAGAGGTCAAAGTGATTGATATTTTTGATGGGTTATTCGAAAAAGCACTTAAAGTAAGAAGTCGATTTTATTATTATTTAATATATTTATGTATTTATTGTTTTATGATCAATAAAAATTTATATTGCGCTCCAATACAATTATAAAATCATAAAGTAAACATAAAGATCATTCAAAATCAAAATCATTTAGTTTATTTAAAAATACAGGAGTTTGCATAATAACTTAACGTCAATAGTTTCTTTAAATTTATTAATAGTAGGTAGATTGTACTATACCTTAGTTCAAAGTCGCATTCAATATTGCCATCTTGTCGTGGGACGCTACAACATAGAATCACACAAACAAATTAGAAATACTACAAAAGAGAGGGCGGATGTAATTTCGGCCGGAAAAAGGACAGGTACCTAAAGGGGATATGTAATTTCGGCCGGAGGTTTAAGGGTTCGTTCTTATCGTATAGGTATTTTCGGCCGGAAGGAGCAGGTAAAATAAAATAAGATTTAGAATTGCTATAACATTCTTTATTAAACCAAAATCAAAGACACTATTACTTAAAAACTAGAGCTAAAAACATACATTACATTTTTACGAACTTTGATATGATACAGTTTTAACAAAATTAAATCTAGAAATTTTTCCAGACCGAAGCATATTTACCATATTTTCAATAAATTTTAATTTATTTCTGACTTGCTTGTCTTTTATTTTTGCTGTAATATTTAAACTTTTTATTTTTAAATATGAATCGATCTGGAATTCTTTTAACTTTTCTATAAAAATAAATATTGAGGGTGGCAAGAATAAAATGAAGAATTTAATTTAGAATGGAACGATTCACAAGCGTTTCTGGTTCTATTCGTTTTATAGATGGATTTTCGTCTGCCCATATATTTGGTGGAAAATCGGAATCAGGTGCTATATAATATTGTAATAGATAGTCTGCGTATTTATCTAATAGTTCATTATTTGGTTTGCAAGACATTAAATCAAATATAAAACAATCCTCAACAGTAGATGGTTTTAAATAAGTAAGCCCAAAAGTGTGAATAAGCCATTTACTTTCTTCAGAGTTTTTGTCTTTATATATTTGAGTTAACCCTAAAGACTGAATTTTCCTGTACCACGCTTGATGTAAGTGATATCTACAACCATTTATTTTCGTTTTTGACAAAACATTTCTTAGTGCGATATGTATTGATATTTCAAAATCTACGAATGCCTCCATCGGTTCAAAAACTATATTAAAAACTTCCAAAATTTTAGATTTAAATAACAGAAAAAGTTTAATATATGTGTCAGCAGTCTTATTTGGTAACAGACAATATAAAAGAGGTATATAGTGCCCATTTTCCAGGCCATGAATGGTAAATAATTGATAAAAATATTTCGTACAAAAAGAAAATGTGCTATCCATATATATAACATTCATTTTACACAACGTAGTAATATTTGTTTGACAAGAA